AGGTTTAGGATGAGGGATGCAAGAAGTTGTTAGTTATTTCTATTTCCTTAGACTGTTAATCCTTACGATTTTTTGGTTAACTTAACCTGGGTCTTTTTGTTCAGGGTTGGAGAGAAAAGTATATCGATTCCGAAGAATGATTTTTTACTTTCTCGTGGCTAGTCTAAGCTAAGGTGTTAACTTACTTAATCTTACTTAGGGGTAGTGATTGTGTTCAAGGGTTGGAGAATAGTAAATCGATCCACAAGGTTCAGGTATAATTAGAACGCAAGTAGTTCGTTAGATACTATTTTAAACTTACTAAGTCTAAGATCTATCCTGGGTCTGGTAAGAGGAGGGTTCAAGTGAAGGATGAATAACCGAAGTTCTTCACTGTTTATCTCAATTTGAATGGTTAGTTTTATTGAAAAATTTGTATTAGTCCTGGGTCTTTTGGAAGGGTTGGATAGTGAATCGACGTTTGAGGTCGTTAGACACTTGCTAAGTGGGTGGGGGAGGACAAAATTGTTCTTTTTGATCCAAGGATAGGCCTTGATGATCAGATTTTAAATTTAATTAGATAGAAAATTTATTAAGATCCAAGGATGAGCCTTGATGATCTGATTTTTAAAATTAAGTGAATTTAAGTTTAAAAAGGTTTAAGTTTATTGAATAAAAAGATTTAGTTCTTCAATGATATTAGTGAGCTTATGAATGCTGTTATGTTTAGGTGATGAAGCTGGAACAACAGGATGATTTATGATTATTAACAATTTTTTGTCATGCTACTAATTTTTATTTTTATTTTCAAAAAATATTTTTCAAATATGTTTCAGATAATACTGCAGAAATTAAGAAAACGATCTGAGATCTTTTTATCAATCGTTATTGTACATTAATAATTTTGTTTAGCGCCTGAAATGATCATGAAGGTTTACTTCAAAATTTTATGTTTGCAAATGAAAATCTAAATTCATTGCTAATAAGATTCTAAATACAAAAGTTTGTGTTGGCTTTTGCCGTAAAACCATAAAACTAAATGGTAAGTTTCTACTTTGTCGTATGTCGTCTCTTGTCTGAAGTCTTCTTCCAATTCCGGGTAGTTCTATTATCGTTCGGAATATCGGCTCTGATCTATTGAGTCGTAGAGACATTTCAATTAAATTTTTATCGTATAACATTTTTGAAAATGTTTTGTCTAATTTCTAATCTATTTTTGGTTAGTTCTAAGCTATTAAGGTCTTATTCGAGACTTATGGTCGCACCAGATGAGTTAGAACCGATGTGGTTAACTCATAGAGTAATTTCGGATAGGGTACACCGTCTGCTCGTCACGCTATCTTATTTTCGGCCGGATAGATTCCTGCAACTTCTTAGTCTAATACCGATCCTAATCTTACTCTTGTACTTACTAGTCTCAGGGTGTTTAACTAGTCTCTGCTAGGCTCAATAGATCTAGGGTATACTGGTTTATTGCGGCTGCTGAAGTTCTCTTGGAGAGGCAACTAATTTCTAAGTTAAATTCAAATCTCTTTGGTGCTGAAATTAGAAGTAATTTCAGCACTTACAAATAAGTGGGTTGTTAGTTAGATGGATTATGATTGGTTAATATTAAATATTTTACAGTGGTAAAATATCCAATTTATCCAATTATAAAATGTAGTTTAGATCAGGTTCCAATACTTCGTTCTGGTTGATTAATTAGGTCTATAAAACATCTAATTCTAATTTCAGAAAAATGAAATTGAGGTCTTTTTATCATTCAAGAAATAGAATGTCAATAGATCGGAAACTGTAGACTTTAATCAGTTTATGTTTGAGCTCAAAGTTTCCAATTCTTACTGGAAGTTTGGAAAGTGAGAGTTTGGTTGGAATCTTGTGCTGAGAAAAGTCGACTTTTTTCGACCTTAACCTGCTGGGCTATTTGAGCCTGTAATTAAGCCATATCATGATCTTTTCGAAATCACTGATTTTTTTTGGAAATCGTTCTCGCCTGTCGTAGTTTTGATGACCTTAAGGATTTTCACTGTTTTCGTCTGCAAAAAATACAGAGATTTTGTGCACAGAATAGCCGTCTTTTTCTCGTTTCGAGTCAACAATAACCACTTGTGTGCTGATACAGCATTTGACGAAATGGTCATCTTCTTTTTATTACTTGTCGTGTTTTAAACCTGCACGGTTTTAATTGGGTTTCTCTGGGTGCAGACTTAGATTGGTTCGCGATCTTCGATTTTTTATTGTCCCAGGATCCAATTCATCAATTTGATAGACATTAAGTGCTCTTGTTTTGCCCGGCATTTAAATGAAAGGTTCAGAATTTTCAAAAAATTACCTCAATGTACTTCGATTCTGTTTCTGTGAGGCACTTCCAGGTACATAACTCTTCTATTGTAGCATAACCAATTTTAGCGTGTTGTCTACAGTGCAACCAGTTCTGATGCAGATCTATATCTCTCACTATCTGCTAAACAAGTTTTTCTTATTTATCAGCAGCGTTAGACTTCTTTTGCGATTGCTTTTGGCATTCACATTTAGATGCTTCTCCTGCCAAACGCGCTTGGAAGGACTCGATACCTTCTTTGTTTCAAAATCATGCAAAGTAAAGTTCGGTAGATGAATTTAGTTGAATGCGATGCATTCTAAGGGCATGCATTCGTTCGGTTATGTAGTTTTTATTGCGTTTGAGCATTTTTGTTCAGACGAGTACTAAAAGAAAGAAATCAAAATTTAGTTGATGATCACATGTTCGTGATGCTGAGGAATTTTCTCTTTGTCCGCGTTACCCGATACAGACACTAAGCAAAAACTTATTCGCTCTTCTTTTTTGCGTAATAAAACAATGGGACTGATGTTTGGCCCTTTTTTACCGCTTTTTGTTTAATTTTTTTTTTCTGAAAAGCAGCTTCATCGCTGTTTTATTGTACGTTTTGATTGAGATTTCGGAGGCTAGAATTCTTTCCGGCTTCAGTGGGGAATTATATGCAGCTTCGTCTGCATTAGTTGAAAATATATTGGGGTCTCAAGGTTCTTTAACTTACACGGCCACAATAATTGACCTACTGAAAGTTCCTAGAGATTTGGAGATTCAGCTGATGAAGAATTTTTCATAGAAAGAGGGAATTCCGTGCCTTTGTTCCTCAAAGCGTCATGTGATTTCTCATAAGACATTGATAAAAACTAAGTAAATAACGAATTACTTCCTTACCACTGCTTTGTGCTATTGGTAGTATGACTAGTATGGAATTATGACTAACATTATGGCATGGAACTGAATGGGTAGTAATTTCAGTGTACAGGTATCAACCCAGGATCTTGAAAAATCTAAAATCTTAGCATGATCTTATTAGTCTCTTTATCAAAGCAAATTTGGTTGCTGCGTTCATATTTTCAGTAATTTCAACAGCTAAGTGAAGCTGATTTTTTTCAACTTTCTGTTAACAACTTATGACAAAATGCGGTACTTGATTAAGCTGGAAAGTTTGTCCTCTGATTCAAAATCAGTAAATTTGAGAAAGGTTAAGTTTGGTTAAGTCATGAGGCTGCAAAAAACATAGCCAACTGAAAAAATGGAAAGATTAATGAACGAAAAGAAACAGAAAAACTTGTTTTTTGAAAAAAATTTCAAAATTCGAAAAAAAAGTTGACCTTAAACCTCTTTTGAATTTTTAGAAAAATTTATTAATGGCACTTTTTCGTGAAATTAAACCAATTTGAGAGAACTGGATCAATAGTTAAATATTTTATTTCGCTAAGAAATCTGATAAAAATCCCTTTTTGAAATACGAAGTCGTTCAAGTTTTTTCGCGCCACTTCCACGTTTAAATTTGGAGTGTGCAATTTACCTAACTTTCAAATGATCATATATGGAACTCAAAAAAGCATATATATATCTTAAGGCATTCATATATGCATTAATATGTATGAATGCACATCTGTAGTTACTTGAGCATTTTATGACTTTTACCTGAAAAAGAAAAAAAAACCTATTTAAGAGTCTTCACTACGTTCATTACTCTTAACTAGAGTGACAAATTGATATTCGTTTTTTTTTTGAAAAATCACATGAAAAAAACACAAGACAAAAAAATAACAAAACTTCAAGCGCGGAACACCAATTTACGCGCACTATTCCTCTCCTGCCTGATACAAGCGCAGAGGAGCAACCATTTTCTACTTGCCAATGCCTTGTAACGAACTGTCGCTTGTTACGAATTCTCGACTGTTACAAATTGTCGCCCTACCGTTTAAACTCAATAAACTGCTCCATTTATATGTTTTTCAATAAGTGCTTACCAAAATTTCTCTTCAAACCTCCCTCAAAAAATGAGAAAATTTGGTCCTCCATTTTATAGTCATCCGAGCGAGGTACAGTGCGAAAAATTCGAAGCCAAACCTACAGATTTTGCATATTTGTTACACGTCCCTGTTGTTAGCTTCGAAATTCAGCAGTTTTCACGTTCAAATCAACTTTCCTGTCCTCAAATATAGCGCTATATAGTTGAAAACATGAAATGGGTTTTAGTTGTCATGTCGAATAACCAGATTGAAGACTTTTTTGATGACTGATTAGACAGTTCACCACCATATTCTTTACTAAATTTTTGGTAAAATTTGTTCTCCATTTTGCATGATTTTCTTTTATTAACTCGATAGAATTCGAAGCTTGCGCCTGAATGCATAGCTCCGAACACAAGAGCTTAAGTATCATACCATTACTTTCAAGAGTTTGATTGCACTATGAAATCGGAGACAGAAAATGTTAATGATTAGATATGTTGCCGCCTATTACTACTATTTTCCTTCTCCAAATTTTCGAATTTCCCAATGGAGAAAATTGCAAGGCAGTATCGCAATTTATTTAGTAGTTCGGAAAACACCTGCAAAAAAAGCTATAAGATTATAAATAATTGGCGTTAAAGGGTTTTCTTCTATAATTCCAATTACCTAAGTAGACAGTTTTTATAACATTCAAATAATGAAATTGCACTGATTCTGTTTGCGATTGAATATTCTAAGAAAAAGAAGATTTCAATAATTAAATTAAATTTTTCACGTTCAAAAGTATCATTATTCTGAAATAGATTGAAAACTACGCATTTGACAATTCGCTTTTTTATTCTATTCAAAGTTATTTCAATCAAATCATTTACTAAAATTTAAATAATTTTCATCATGCCTGGGCGTTCAATTTGTATAGAAGAAATATTCAATCTAAAAAGAATGTGTGGAAATGACTAGCAGCACTCTTGATTTGTTCAAATATTTTTCAATTTTCGTATGAGGTTTTTGAAGAAGCCTTTAGCAGTTGCAGCTCATGAAGTTGGTTTTGAGCATGCCTGAAACACAATTTAAACATACTGTTATCAGAAGCCCCTAGACCAATTTTCGATGCTTTAAAAATTCCTCTATATTAACCCCTTGTAAGAAATGACTGTTGATCAAAAAACATAAAAAAAAATTAGTTATTTTTCTACAACACATTTTTGATCTTCCGTAAATTCATAAAAGAGCACACAGGCGGATCTGTGCTTCGTAAACACTAGCGAGAATAAAACAAAAAAGCAGCACTACAAGTGAAATAAGAAAGTAGAAAAAGGCCTCGAGTTAGCAAACACTGGGCTACGTGTCGTATTCGATCTGCGAACTAACAATTTCAAGTCTCACGCACTAACCTCTCAGCCACAAACGCTTAACAATCAGAAGAACCATCCACCAATAACGCCGCTACACATGCTTATAAATTGACAACTCGATGCAGCAAAGTTGCACCAAATACAAAAATACACAATTTTGCAAGTAATAAATTGGACAGCAAGCCAAATTACTTATAAATTATGCACTTCACAAACAAAACTGCGAGACACATTGAGTGGAAAAAATTCTGAATTCGTGCTTTTTATCATTGTGCTGCAGTTTGAAACGAGTTTTTTTCGGTTCCTTTTAAAAATGCATCAACTATGTTACCTTTTTACTTAACAAATATCAAAGCACATATGCCAGTATACTGCTACAGCAGCCTACCGATTCAAAAGTGCAACCAAAATTGCGACTTAGGTTGGAAATAAAGAAAGTTCGTACAAATACATTTCGCTTCGCAAGCTTACTAGTGTAATTACACACATAGCAAAAATAGTAATATCAACTTCGCACAAAGTATTTTAAATTTAGAACTGCCAAAATTTCTAAATTGTATTTAAAACTAAATACCTACCTTGTGAAATCTTCGATTTCTACAAGCAAATCCTCTTGCTGAGTTCTCAGATTGTCTTTCACGACTAGCGCGTCCACCAATTGCACATTTGTAACTGCAGACAAAATTCAAAAATTATTTGGTCTGAAACCATTGCGTAAAAATTTAAATATGATTTAATTATGTTCCGACCCCGTAAGTAGAGTGACCTTGGAATTTGTGTTTCGAAGTTTAGAATGAGCTCCCACATCAACAAACAAGCCCCTACAATAGACTTAAACAATCCAAGGGATAAGAGTTTAGGAAGATTGAGCGCCATTGTTACGTATCCACCATAAGTGTAATAGGGGGAAGGGCTGATCGTTAAATATATCACCCATGACTCACTTGCTATTTCCTCAGTGAGTCTCTGCTTCAGCTTAAGTAGTTTGTTCACGTCCACATCAACGAGAGACTGTCTATAGTTGTCGTCTGAACCAACACTCTTCGCAGACATTTCTCCTTCATTGTCATATAACACCTACACAATTGGACCAAAAAAGTTAACAATAATGAATTAAAATCAAAATTGCCGACATGGATGAAACCATGCGTAAAAGCCTGAATGTGATGATGTCAAATTCTATATTTTATTGTTAATGACCCAGAAAACGATAAAAACGAATTATAAGCTGCGTATGGTGCATGTATATTGACTGAATGAACAAATACCCACTGGCGTCAAATAAAATAACATCGCTATTTAAAGACATTTTACTGTTTAGTTGAAACTTTGTGGCAAAGCTCACAATGAACTATAGGAGACATATATTATCATGTTTTCATAAGAAATCAAGTTGACTGTATTCAGAACTAATTTCTAAAAAGCCTGACAAAAGCTGACTTTTGATGTACCTGGTTGACGATGAGAGCCGTTCTTCTGGCCTGGCTCTCTAACTGGACCTGCATCTTGGCCATGTTCTTTGCCTGACCCAGAGCCCACTTGGCCTCCTTCTCCAGTAACTGCTGTGCTGCAATGAAACTGGACGCCAGCTGGATGTTCAGCTCCACCTGCGAAACAAAATACACTGTAAGTCATTTCTTCACATTTAGGAATTATAAATACCGTAATTTCGGACTTGATATGGCTTCTTTATCTAAAATAGGAAAGACACAAATTACAGCTGTTAAGTTTAATTAAGATATCCTCTGTTGCTTCTTTGATTTTAAGATTCGAGACGTTTTAATTCCCCAGCAAAATTGAATTTAAGAAGAAACCATCGATGTAGTGAATAATTCACTCCTAAAAAGCACTAACAGGGTTGCTATCAACAAAATCCTTCAAAGAATTTACTTCAATGCCCGAAAAAGTTAAGACGAAGCCAATTAAAAGTGGGAAAAGTGTTAATTCAAAAAATTCAACTTTTGAGTTTCAAACAAAAATTAGATCATCTTAAAGCACCTGAACATTTTATGGCAGACACAACTAGCTCAATTTGACAAAGAAAATCGAATCAGTAGATATCTTTTTATTCCGCTGAAAATTCTAAAAAACAAAATCCATTGTTGAAACCAGAACTCCTGCACGTTTTTTCGCGCCGTTTGCTCATTTGTAATTCGAGAGCGTATCTTGGCTTCCTCGTAGCAAATGAACTTGAATTGAACCTTAATTCAAGTAACATTTAATTGACATAACTTTCATCAGACTAATGACAACAAATAGTCGCGTTTTCGACTAGTAAATTCTTTCTGAGAATCAAAATTTTAAAATGTACCTTTTCCTCTTCTGTCAGGCCTTCCTCCCATCTCTCCTCTCTTGCTATCCCACTTTTATCGCCCGTATCATTACCGTGGAAGTAGTTCGAAATAATCTTCGAAGTGGCACTCATCAGTGTCTTGTAGCCCTTCCTCGCCAACCGTTTCGCATGTTCTCTGTCATTGAACGTCTTGGACGGATTTGGAATTAAGGGAAAAGAAGCCTGGTTGTTGGCACCTTTGTCGTTTGGGTTCATGGCAGAAATTCGACGCTTTTCTCGCACACGAGATGTATTCTGGGTTTCCTACAACAAAATCCTCATAAAAATTCGCATCAGTGCAGCCGAAAGTGAACCATATTTATCGAGCCTTTTTAATTTTTGTCATTGGAGAGCGCAATGTTCCTCCATTTTCTTCACTAAATTAAGAAGTGAGCTACGAAAAACATGATACGGTTCTCTCTAAACACACATCACCCACATTCAATTTGAAACTAGCAAGCACGCCTTCATTAATCAATCGACTTGCAGAAAACAACGAATCTTTGAAATATCAAACGTATTTTAGCTTGGACCGTGGTACAAGAAAGATAGCTGGGTCTTTTTAATTATTCCGCCTAACAATCAACACTTCAACATCTTGAAATGAAACTATTTTGCTTCAGTCTGATTGGATAGAATTAGCCTATCAAGTTTCAGTACCATCTCAACAAGTTTTGTTTACAATTTCAAGTTGACTTCAAATAAGCCGATTTGGCCAAAAATGTAGATAGTTTGCAATGTTTGGTAAAATATTCAAACTTATTTCAAATATGCTGAAAAGTTTTACCCCGTAAAAACACAGAAAATAGCTCCAGAAAAAAGACCACCTTCACAGCTGCTCAAAATTTGGCCTTGTTAGAAGTCGGCTAAGAAATACAGATCGGCTGTGTTACCCAAAACTAAAGAGTGCTATCAGTGTTTGCAAGTCAAACCAAACCGCCGAAACAAAAATGAGCTAAATATTAAGGAACAATATTTGAGAGTTTTACACGGAGGAGAAGCCTCATTTCGAAAACTCAAGTGAGAAAACGACACAAAGCAGCTTCAAAGAAAGAAAGTAGTTTGCTAATAGAAACAGTGGGGTCGATTGATAGATCCCTTTGTTCCATTTAGTAACTAGCCTTATAAGTCTCGGTTCAATTATATCAAAGATCATAGTCGATCTGGTTCTAGAGTTAAAATGATATTTATAAAAAAGATAAATTAAAAAGGGATTAATAAATAGAAAAGGTTAAATGTTATGCACAACTGTTCATCTATTGTTAACTTTTACCAATAGGAGGGGATATTTATTTTTTATTAATTTATTGCTTTTGTTTCTTACAATATTTTGTTGGAAAGTAGCTGAGAGAAGGCGTGGAGAACTTGTTGTCCGATGCTTGCCGCGAAAAGGTACACTGTCCAATGTTCACTGACCCTTGAGAACCTGTCCGACACTCGGGTGGTTGCTCTTCGTGTTTGTTTTTGATTGTTTAACTTAACTTGAGAAATTGCTTAATTTGTTTAAGTTTTGAGTGACTCTACTAAAAGAGAAAATTACTAAAAGAGAATTTAAGCTGTAGTTTCATAAGGAACAAATAGGCGAAAAATGAGAATATTTCAGCCGTCTGTTTGAGTGAATAGGCAGACTCCGCCTGACTGGCATCGTGTATAAATACTCAGTTTTCTCGATCATCCGTTATACTTATTTTACAACCTTTGCCTTTCTCCAAGGTTAAAAAAAACTGAATGAATAAAAAAATCCGTTCAGAATTTGAAAAGTTAGATATTTGGATTTGATGTTTAAAGTTTTAAATTAATTTATTCAGTTGAAATATGAATTACAAGTTGAGTTAAAAAAAGCATTCTTATCTTAAGGTGTGAACGAATGTTTAGAGTAGAAAAGAATCCACTCAGATCTTATGTTAAACAATTAAAACAATAGCGTTTTATACAAGTGTAGCATTTCCAATACTGCAACTCACCCCTTTTGTAGATGAACAGTTGTGAATGCAATCCCTTAATGGGCATTGCTTAAAGCATGAATATAACATGTTTAAGATTAAAATGAGCTTTAAAAACTGGATTAGAAACGTTTAAAATGTTAGTTAGGCAATGTTTTTAAGTTCTTTTCTAATGCCACATTATAATCCATTAAGATCTTTATCTTCTTTTCCGATGACTTTCGTTGTTTCTGTAGTTGTTTCTGTAGTTCTTTTTTGTCCTTCTTTTACGTTTGTTCTTTAATCGCATTTTTCCGATAGCTTTGATAGCCGGTCCACGTTCTGTTGATTGTCATGTTCAACGCTGTAATTCCAATGAGTGGGACGAGCAAAGATGTCTCTCCCGATTTTATGAGGTACTTCTTGGGAGTTCTCTCCTTCCGTTTAAATGAGTTCTTTTGAGGGCAAATTGAGAAAAACCCGTGATCGAGTATTTTCTCTGGAGGAAGGGTGATTGAATACTCAGTGGCGATATTTATTGCTTGGAACGTCCCCTGAAGCTTCTACTTATTTAACTCTGGCTTCAAGGAATACTCCAGGGACGTCACAAATTTGGGTTATCGTGAGGAGATAGGTTTATATCACGATCTTTCTGTTCGCAGCCCTTCTGCCACTTCTGGGAGCTTTCCTGATACATGTGGCAGGCCATCTTCTAGTGACAGAGAGGGTTGATTAATGTGCCTCTTTCGGTTTTACATTTTGTGTAAGGTCTGAATCTGTCAGCCGGGTCTCCGTTTAGGCAATTCCAATTTAGTACTGGGTCGTACTCCATTTCTAAATATATAAAATATTTTTTACACCGCTTTGCTAAAGTTGCTGCTCTTTGCAACATTTAGGCGGCATATATTTTAAATGAGGGTTTTATAAAAGCAAGGCAAGTTTTTGATTTCTTAAAAAATGAAAATTTGAGCATTAATTAACCCCTATTCTTAGTTCTATGTCCACCTGGGTTCATCCAATAATTATTTAGAATTTTTATTTTGAATAGAAAAGAATAATACACTCGGATCTTATGTAAACAATTAAAACGATAGCCTTTTATATTAGTGTATCATTTCCAATACTACAGTACAAACAGAGCCGAAGATACAACTTCGTAAGCACGAGCGAGAAGCGGCAAAGATTCGAGAGCTTTAAAATGACAAATATAAAAAATTTTGCATGTAAAAATTTGGGACACAATAAATTAAAAGTAACCACACTAGCTTTGCATGTATTAATCTAGAATGTAATAGACCAAACGCCGTATAAATTATTCAATTCAAAAAATCTCGCGAAGTTTTTTTTACTAACAATAGCTACCAATAAAGCAGCTACAGATACTAATATATTGCCAATGCTATGCAGCAGAAATACCACTAATAATTACCAGACTGCTCGTATCAGGGCGAAGCCCTGAATTTTCCCACCGCCTTTTAAGGTTTATGGAGCAGTAATAACATGAAAAAAGTAAATGTAAAAAAAATGGAAAGATTTTTTTTAAATTTGAGATTTTTTTGTGAAAATCATCTCCTACACGCCATATAAAAAACAAGGTGATAGATTTCGTTGCAATTTGGCACAATTTCAAAGACGGAAAGTTAAAGTCGAAATTTGTCTGAAGAAAAAAAACTACCCGAGAACAAATATTCCGTTACTTTCGTTACGAAAGTCCGGACTACAAAACTATTGCTTAACTGTGCACCACGTCCGAATGACAATCGGTATAAATTAGCAACCAAAAAAGCAGAGAACAGATACTATTAAATTTTCAATTCTTAAGATCGCGATTACAGCAGAAGTGCTACCAAATGAGCACTTTTCTTTTGCAAGCTAGATTGAAAAAAAAACAGTAGACTCACACTATAACATTACGCTCGCTAGCTGGCATGTGTTAAAATAAAATTGAAACAAAAAACCACAGCCTTAATAAGAACAAGTTCATTGCGTTTATTAACATTGGCAAGTTTTATTGACAAAAAGCACCAAATGATTTAAAAAACGAAAATATACTGATCACGCAACCTACTAGTAACTCAAAATCTCTAAAGGTATGGTCACTGTTTGGCTTTACATAAATTAAATGCTCAGAATCATTACACATGCATCACAACGAGCGCGAAATCGTTACTTAAGTTGCATGTAAAACTGATCTCAATATCCGTATTAGACTTTTCCAGAGACTACGAAACATAGCCAACAGACAGTTGGGAAAGCGTAAATGACCAAGAAAACAAAATATAATAGTTATAGTACTTTTGAAAATTTAGAGAAAGAAATATATTTCCAAAAAGCAGATCCTTGGACCTCAAAATTAACTGCAATTAATAGACAAATTGAGGGATTTCGAACAAACCCATGAATCAATTAATTGATTTTGAAACCCTCCACTATTTTCTCTTTCTAGTTTTTCCCAGGACTGTAAAATTGCCTATTTGATCGAAAAAAGCCTGAGCAAGCTCGTTTTCTTGATGCACAACGCGCTTTCTATGTTTTCTACTACTAGTTTTCCAGAAAAAAAAACAAATATTTGCACCATGAACTAAATTTGAAATATCAAAATTAAATGGAAAATCATTAGAAAAAACGGGAACATTTTTTTTTCTAAAGTTCACATTTTTAATTAAGTGCAAAAATGAGAATGTTTAAGTATTTCGGTATGGCCGGAAAAAAATTAAGCTTACTCTGAACAGAAAATGATTCAATGTTTCGACAATCAACGCACAGCTATAAACAATAATCGAGCCAATAATTATTTGAAAAAATTATACCCACGTTTGTGCCAATAGCCGAATTGCGCCCATTTATGCTGCGGCGCTCATAGTCACCACTTGACTGGTGTCGGTACTGATGACGCGGGGATGCAGTAGTATTAGAACGAGGATGAGAAGAATGAGGGGGTGATGGACAGCTGTAAGCGTGGACTAGACTGCGCAGTGACTCATCCAATTCAGACTCACTCACTTGCTCTCCATCATCATCCTGGTTAGAGTAGAGAGAAGAGAGAAAGGTAAAGAAACCAAAAGAAAACCAAAAGTTAAATCGGAAATTAAGAAGTGGAAAGAAGAAATCAAGATTACGTCAAATGGCATAATTCCCAAATGGCATAAAAATGAAATATTTCCCAAATGGCATAAATTTCATGCAACAGTTGCTTTGGAAAAATCGAGAACAATTTTTTCGTGAACAATGTGAGAAAATTAGTCAAACTGTCAATTCAAATGTTGATTGACATTTTATCGTGAAAAACTTGTAGAACTTAATATCAAAAGCAAGAAGCATAAGCTTGCGGTTATTAATAAGCTTCTTGTGGTCAATTTTTTTCGACAAACCTGTTGCTTAAATTTGTTTTGAAGCAATTAATTCCAAATCTTGTTCACATGCTTTCGTTCCTGACAAAATGTTAGAGTTAGAAATTGATAGAAAACGTTTAAATTACAATGACAACTTGAAATTTATGCCATTTGGGAAAAGTTTCCATTTTTATGCCATTTGGGAATTCTGCCATTTGGGAAGTTACCGAAATCAAGATTAAAAGACGCGAACATAAAGTTAGAGAAACTTTTTATCAAAAATCCCAAAGATGTTTGCTCGAATATTTCAAAAAACTCGAAGAAGTTTGAAAATGAAGATGTGTGATGACTTGAACATTAAATTATCTCTCCCTGCCTAAGTAATTCCAAGTGAAGTATAATTATTTACTTACAAAACGCGATGCAATACACAGACAAGTCATTTAGAGAAATCAAATCTGAGTTAAATCAAACTGCATCTACGCTACCAAAACACAAAAAAAAGCTGGATATTGTGAATTCGCAGTGTAAAAATAAACTCAATTAACTGCATACCTCATCCCCCATTTTGTTCACGTCGTCTTCATTTAGAAAACAAATACGATGAGTAAAATACGGGTTCTGCAGTCTGACATTGGCAGCAAACGACAATTCATCATCATCATGGACATTGTCGTCTGCGCCAACCGAGACGTCGTCTCCCGATGCCTCGTCAATAGACTCTTTGTCTAGAGACTGCCTGTCGTCCTATAACCAAATGACACTCAAACAGGCATTCAAAAACAAAAGGCTACAACTTTATGCCAAGCGTGTCGCTCTTAACATCTGGTTGTTACTACTTATATTTTACAGATATCTTAAAGAGTTATCGACTGTCACCAAAAATTCGGAGAGAGAAATATATTATTTGAAAGCAATCAAAATATTTCGGAACAATTCTACATGATTACTCAACTTTTTCATTTGCAATTATTGATATCAAACAATATGACTTTGGAATAGCTCAATGCCAGCAGGACTGATACAGGTAAATGATAAATGTTTCTTTGATGCATTTTTACTGAATATATTACTATTCGTTTCATTTGTATACTATTCGGAAAAAAATGTTTACAACTTACGCAAGCAAACCTTTTCTCAAATCTGAACAAAAACCCATTTTTCCTTTATTTTATTTCCAAATTTCCAATACTTTCCACTCTCAATCAGACAAGATTTAGCAACAGTAAAAACAAACCTGCTAACTTATACCTAAAACAGATTTTATCTTGCTACTTTGGATCCCTGTGGTTTAATATAAAATGAGATTAATGGAGAACTTAAAATAATGCTCTAGAAGAATATAAATGAGATTGTTGTTAGCTTTTATGCTAGCAATGTAGCGCAATGAAGAACACTTACATCATAAATCTGTGAGTCAATGGAGTCTGCCTGTTGAATTCCAATGTTCGAATCTATTTTCCTGTCAATATCTTGGTTCAATTCGTCTGGTTCAAATACTTGATCCTCAGACTGTTGTTGAAACGATGACGAGGAGAAAATAGCATCGTTTTCATCTGTTTCTGCCATTTTGATCAGATTTGATCACGGAATTCTAATCTGTTCATCTAAAAGCCAAAAACATATCTCATCGTCACTTCCAAATTTGTAAAAGCAGCGCATAATTTTTATAATTGAATTCAAGATAATCGGAAAAAAAACTTTGTTATATATTTGATTCTATGGATATTCGTATAGCTCAATTCTTTTTGAATTCCGAAAACCTTTTATGACTTACACTTTTTTGACACAGAGGCGGAGTGACAAACTCTAAGTTAAATATCAAACATCTTTGACGGCTTATAATTTTTTGACAGAGGCGGGGCGAAAAATTCTAAGTTGAATACCGAAATTTTAATTTAAATAAATTCCCAAAAGAACACAAACGCATAAATATCTATATTTTCTCTTCACACAACGATATATGGGACAATTAAACCGTCATAAAAATGAGAAAACATCCAGCAGACAGTTGGAAAAAGAGTCAATGGACGCAAGTAAACAATCCTGTCTTGCTTTTTGAAACATCTCAAGTTTCGAATTTCAAGAAAAAAATAGATGGCCTTAATGCTCTTAGAATTCCTAGAACAGTTCATGATTGACACTTTTTTTGATGAAAATTTTTATTTCGCTGGGAAACCTGATAATTTAAATCCATGTTAAAAATCAGAAGTTTATCACGTTTTTGTGACTTTTACACTTTTCTTGTTCTAAAGGGGAGTTCCTGCTTTCCTTTTAACAAATGAAATGAGCCAGAAAACCACGAAAAAGTAAAGTTGGTTTAAAAAGTCAAACCACGAAAAAATAAATTCGAATCTGAACGAAAGAACTTTTCTGAAAAAATAATCACGATCTATATAAGAGTCCTCACTACGTTCACCGACTCTTGAGACGAAAACTCTTGAGCAGCAACATTACTAAAAAAACCTCTAGAGGAGTTGTGGCTGAGTGGATAAGACGCGCGGCCTTCAACTCAAAGGTCGTGGGTTCGAATCCCGCTTCAGTCATGGTTGGAGGGATCCCCGAGTTATCTTCCTCAAGGTGGGACCGTCTGCTTGCTTGCTAGTTGGAAGCGGTAATATGTCCGTTGAAAACACATTTTTAAAGAGGGGCAACTTTTAAAGGCAAAAACTTTTCCAAGAAGAGTCCAATTTTATTTGACAATACCCTCGATTCATTCACCTGCTTACCAATATTAGCGCTTTGAAAGCCGCGATGATGGAGATAATGATGTTGATGCTAGATGACCACAGTGACAATGGAACACAGCTGCATCCAAACGGTACAGTTCAACTTCTTCTCCAAGTAATATGGTTTTCCATAGTTAGGCTAGAGCGGAGCGTCAAGGTAATTTTAATTACAAAAGATCATAGTCTCTGAAAAAGAAGCCAATTGAACAAGAGTTTGAACTGCCGCGCAATTTCGAAGTTCTTGAAAAGTAGTACAGAAAGTTACGACTACATGTATATCAGGGAGAATATAACGAACAAAAAAATTTGATGAAGTTGTGATGTCCAGTTGTAGCCATGTGTTCCCGTTAAAATCGCATTTGAGCTGTAAGTAAGCCGCAGCTTAGTAAAGTTTAAATAAAAACCTTCGGGCTTCCAATCAAAATGCAACTTTGAAACGGAGGTTAGTGGTAACAGCGGAACAGAACACGACTAGCCGGTGGCTATGCAAGCAGAACTGGTTGTTCCGAACACATGGAGTGAAGAAAGGAAAACAGAAACAAAATTTTTCGAAGGATGATTTTCAATTTTTACCTGAACTCCAGTTTTTTATTAGTGAAGGACAATTGAATAAGTTCGAAAAACTGCAAAAATTAAAGAAAAACTAAGTTAAGGTATTAATTGCTGTATAATTAAATTAACAGTTCAGTCTCGTATCGTGTCATTTGTAAATTCCAGACTCACACCAGTTCAGATCCAGACTCCGACTTCTGACCAATAAGGTTTTAACACGATATCACATTTTATTCCTATGAGCTTTCCTTGAGTTACCTAAAATAGCGCAAAAACACCGCTCATAGACTACTATAAAAAAGACTATCGTAAAATGGGCGGAAAGAAGTGTCCATAGACTTAAATAAAAAAACAGCCTAAATTAATCTGCAGCACCTTTCATGAAAAAAATATATTTTCGAAAAAAATATCAAAATAAAGCAAAAAAATGTTGGATCAAAAGTTTTCCTTCTACGCCCAGAACACTCAGTGAAAAAAAAACGGTCTTATTTGCGGATGCCAAATTGGCATAATGCCCCCTTTTTTAATGCAACTTATTAGAAATATGGTTTGTTTCATCGATGCAAAACTGGACAACCCAAATCCGTATTGCCATCCTCAGTGTTGAATGGTCTGAGTATGACGCTTGAAATCACTATTTTGTTCACAGAATTCGCCTTCACACATCCTAGCGTCATATTTGTACAGTGCTGATTTAAATTATCCGGACAAAACGAACAAAACTTCAATTTTCAAACGCGTTTTTCTCAACTTGGGTTAAGATTAGACAAAAAGTGAAGGGAACAAAAGTTGCTTAAAATTTCATCAGAATTAATATGGTGTAATTTTTTCTCCGAAACTCTCAACCAAAGTTTTACCCCAAAAATGGGTCATTTTGGCTTTTTTCAATTAATCAAGAAATACGCGAAAACTTCTTTGTTAATTGATAAGAAAATTATATCACAGTAAGCCTCTTACGCAGCTCAACAAAGTTTAAGAAGGGTTAATTCTCCAAAAATTTGCGCAAATTGTTTAAAATTTATTTTTAAACAGAGATTCTGGGTTTTATATAGTAAAAATCACATTTATTGACTATCAAAAGAAAATTTTTTCTCTTATACTGGTTTTTGGAGATTTAACCTTTCTTAAACTTTGTTGGGCTGCCGAATAGGCTTCTAATGATAGAATATACTTATCAATTAACAAAGTAGTTTCAGCGTAATTCTTGATTAATTGAAAAAAGCCAAAATGACCCATTTTTGGGGTAAAATTTTGGTTGAGAGTTTCGGAGAAAAAATGGCACCATATTAATTCTGGTGAAATTCTGAGCAACTTTTGTTCTCTTCACTTTTTGTCTAATCTTAACCCAACTTGAGTAAAACGCGTTTGAAAATTCAAGTTTTGTTCGTTTTGTCCGGATAATTTAAATCAGCACTGTATTCCTATACAGTGCTGATTTAAATTAACCGGAAAAAACGCGGTTAACTTGAAATTTAAAACCCGTTTTTCTCAAATTGGGTTGATTTTAGGCGAAAACTTATGAAGACAAAACTTGCTTAAAATTTTAGCAGAATTAATATGGCTTATTTTGTTTTGCGAAATTCGAGCCCAAATTTTACCCTAAAAATGGGTCATTTTGGCTTTTCTTAATTAATCAAAAATTACGCCGAAAATACCCAGTCGATCACAGACATAATTATATCAAAGTGAGCCCCTTACGTAGCCCAACAAACTTTATGAAGGGTACTTTCTCCAAAAAAAATTACAAATTGTTTAAAAATTATTTTTAAATAAAAAGTTGGTATTTCATATAGTAAAAACGACCTTTTTTGTCTATCAAACTAAAATAAATCAATTTATACAAAATTTTGGAGATTATACCCTTCTCAAAGTTTTTTGGGCTACGTAAGGGGCTCACTAATAGCCTAATTGTTGTGATAAACTTATTAAATAGTTTCAGAGAAGTGAAAATGGAATCACATGATGAAAACGCGACTGATCCACCGACTCTTAGATTCCAAGACCAGACGCCAATTGCTAAGCCCGACAACAAAAGGATATGTGCTGCTCTCAGCCCACCAGACGAAGAACCCCTATTAGAAAAACTAGAAGCAACCATTGAAAAGGCAATTGAAAACAAAATTCCAGATATTGTGAAAATGTTGACAGAGGATCTAAAAGGAACAATTCGACAAGTGATCAATGAGCTTCTGACTGCAACAAAAAATGAAATTCTTGGGGAAGTACAAAAAGAACTAAAAAATAGTGAAACGGTTACTCTCGTGAAAGCCATGTGCGAAGACGAACAGCTGGAGAATTACAATAGGCGAGCTAATTTGAAGATATTGGGATTTCCAGAGCAAGTACAAAGGAATTCGAATGGTAACAGCATTTTTGAAAATTATGACAAGACCATCAACAATGTTATCCAATTGGCAACAAACATTGGGGCAAATGTTACTCCTGCTGATATTTCAATAGCGCATCGGTTGCCAACTCGGACAAACAACGCAAACCGACCAATTATTGTACATTTCTCGAGAAGGGTGGCGAAAATAAATATTCTGCGAAAAAAAAGGCACTCAAAGACAATGAACAGAGTGCCAAAATTCACGTGTTTGAAGATCTGACTAGTACAAGGGTTAATTTTATGAAATTCATGAAACAGGATAACCGTATTAAAGGAGTTTGGACTAGGGACGGGAATCTGCTCTATCAGTGGAAGAACAGCGAAAGAGTTGAAAAAATAACTAGCCTTTATGAAGGAGTGGCGCAGTTGGGATATACTGTATAAGATGTAATGAATTGCTTTGTAAATAAAAGTGATATTTTTAAGGGAGAGTCTGGCTCCTTTGGAACCTGAAAACTCCAAGTGCGATGTAATTACTAATTTTACTGTCTTGTTGTGTAATACTAGATCGATAAAAAAAACATAGTGAAGAACTGGAAGCACTAGTTAAATATCTCGAGTCTCCAAAAGTCATTTTTACTACAGAAACATGGCTAAGTGAGGAAGATAATAAAGAGCTTTTTACAATGAAAAATTACACGTCCTTTGCTTGTAATAGACAAATGAATAGAGGTGGTGGGTCGATGATCCAAATTAAAGATAATATTAGTTACATCCAAGAGATAAAAATGTAGCTTACCAGAAACTAAGGCAATATTAGTGAAATATGCGAATGTTAGAATCATTTTGGTTGTTACCTATTTAAAGCCACGTTCCGATAAAGGATTAATCATCGAAAAATTAGATGAGTTTCTTGAAGAATTATCAAACCACAATGGCCCTATAATTTTTGGCGGTGATTTTAATATTGATATCTTACAACAAAGTAACCTTGTAAATAACTATCTAAATACTATAGCAGCAAATGGCTTCATTCTCACAAGTGATACCCCAACTCGAATAACAGCTGAATCAAACACGTGTATCGACCATTTCTTTGTAAAAAAAATTCCGGAATATGAAGTAAAAATTTTGGAAGAGCATACGTTTACTGATCATTGCCCAATTTTGCTAAAATTCAGAATATCTCGTAAACAGGATACAACGAAAATATTTCGGGACTTAAAATTCCTTAACGATGAAGTTAAAATCCTTAGTTTCCAAAATTCCCTTTAAGTAAAATTAGAAGGAGCACAACTTTTAGTTGATGAAAATATCAATTCCTCGTACGAAACTTTCCAAAATAGCTTTAACAAAACGATTGATGAATATGCACCTGTACGTATATGCACTGCTAAAGATTGCTCTTCGGCAGGGTGGGTCAGCAAAGAAATAAAAAAGGCAATTAGTTCCAGGAACAGAAGGTATAAGGAATGGAAATGTAAAAAAAACAAATAAGACCAAGCGTGAAAAATTCCTCGCCGAGAGGAGTAAAGTAGAAAAATTAGTTAAGCTAAGCAAAAGAAATTACTATTACAATAGGTTCAATAATTGCATTGGAGACTCGAGACAGGTTTTTAAAATATTAAATGAAATAATAGGAAAATGTCCAAGGAGTGGAAACGTTCCTCTTCTTAAAAATGGAGATTTAGAAATAGATAATAATCAGGAGATCGCCAACCACTTAAATGATCACTTCGCTAACATTGCGTCAAAACTTCTGGCATCATTACCAAGTGATAGCAGAGAGTCTCATGAGACTTATTCAAAATATAATGCACCATAATCAATGTTCTTACACAAGGTAACAATGTTCGAAGTCCTGGAAATAATAGAGAATCTAAAAGCGAAACAGTCTAGGGGAGTAGATGCAATAAGCAATATTATCATTAAGAAAGTTTCTCATGTAATTGCGCCATATTTAACCTATTTGATAAACCTCTCATTCGAATCCGGCCAATACCCCGAACAACTCAAGAGCGCCAAAATCCAGCCCTTCCATAAAGAAGGTAGTAAAACAGATGAAAATAACTACAGGCCCATTTCCTTACTAAATTATTGCAGTAAAATCTTTGAAAAATTAATGCATATTCGCCTATAACTATTTGAACAAGTTCAACCTTTTATATGAAAAACAATTTGGATTTAGACAGAAATTCAATACTATCGATACATTAGTTGAATTAACAGAAAAGCTTAGGTACGGTGGTAAGTCAATGAAATTCAGTATGTTCCTAGATCATAAGAAAGCCTTTGATACAT